CTACTGGGTGGAAGCAGCCTTGCCCACCTGTCCGGAACTGCATGGCAGCAGCAACCAGAGCTATCACAGCCTGAGCATGGCTTGCCCAGGGTCTGCTGCACAGGGCAGGGTGGATGGGGATGCTTCTGCCCAACATCCCCCATGACACCTGGGAGATGCAGTCTGGCCCTGCAGGCCCTAGGCACCATCTTCCAGCAGGGGCCAGGACCAAGCGCAGCTCACCCAGGGCCTGAAGGGCTGGAATGCATCTCCCAGGTGCCATGCGGGATGCTGGGCAGAAGCAGCCCCATCCATCTGGCGCACACGGCAGGTCCTGCTGAGCCACTTTTGGGCCCCTGCCTCTGCTGGTGCTGCATGGTGCCAGATGGCTGGGGCTGCTTCCACCCAGCATCCCCTGTGGTGCCTGCGAGATGGAGTCAAGCTCCATAGGCTTAGGGAGGGCCAGACTATTTCCCAGGCTGCCTTGCAGTGCTAGTCAGGTGGGCAGGCAGGCTGCTGCCACCCAGTGTCCCCTGTGACACCAACAAAGACTGGACCCACAGTTGCCACCCATGCCACTAACCAGCACCCATGCCACTAACCAGCAGAGGCAGGGGCCTGAGCACAACTTGCCCAGGGCCTGCCACACAGTGTCACTGCCTATGGTGCCTGACTGAGCTGGATAAAAATCAACTGGTGAGCTAAATTCAGCCTGTTGACCATATTTTGCCCACCCCCGTATTAACAGGAGTGCCACCTGCAAATCAAGGGAAGTAAATCTTTTATTCTATTCAGCACTGGTGAAGCCTCACCTGGAGTACTATGTTTAGTTTTGGGCCCCTCACTTCAAGAAGGATGTAAAGAGTTTGGAGAAAGGCCAGTATACAGTTACAGAAAATGATTAGGGTCCTAGGAAGAAAGGTTTATGAAGAAAACTGAAAGAACTAGGGTTATTTAGTCTGGAGATGAGAGGACTGAAGTGGGATTTGGTAACAGGCTTCGAATACCTGAATGGAAATTAGAGAGAGGATGGAGATGTACTTTTTTCTGTGGCTGCAAGGAACAGGACCAAGACCAATAGCCTCAAGCTGCAGCACAGAAAAATTAGCTTAGGGATAAAGCACTAGAAATAAAGTTGTGGAATCTCCATCCCTGGAAATCTTCAAGAACAGACTGGACAGGCACTTATCCGGAATGACTTAGTCTGGGACGCAGAATCCAGCCTTCAGCAGGGAGCTGGACTAGATGACCTCTTGAGGTATCTTCCAAACCTACTTTCCTATTATCCTAAAATTTGGGCCAGACTGTGACTTTAACAATCTGCTTTAAGTCTGAGGCAGGGTATGGCTGCTAACTAATTTCTGGAATCACAGAATCAATGAACCGGAAGCAACCAGTTAGATCATCAAGTCCAGTCCCCTGCCATAGGCAGGAGGTTAATGAGCTCAAACTAGCTCAACGAGGTGCTTATCCAGCCTCCTCTTGAACACCTCCAAGGATGGTGACTGCACCATCTCTGCCAGGAGTGTGTTCCAGGTTCAAGTTACCCTAACAGACAATTCTTCCTTATGTCCAGCCTAAATCTTCCCTCTATTAGTTTGTGACCACTGCTCCTTGTCCTCCCAAGGGGTGCCTTCCTGAAGAGTTGCTCCCCCAGATCTTGGTGTTCCCCGCTGACATACTTGTAGGCAGCTACCAAGTCACCTCTTAGCCTCCTCTTACCTGGACTGAACAAGCCCAGCTCCCAGAGTCTCTCCTCACATGACCTATCCTCCAGCCCTTAATCATGTGGGTGGCCCTTTTCTGTACCCTCTCAAGCTTATCCACATCCTTCTTTAAGTGCAGTGCCCGAAACTGGACACAATACTCCAGTTGAGGCCTCACCAATGCTGAGTAGAGGGAGAAGCACCTCCCTGGATCTATTGGCAACACATCAGCTGATACACGCCAGAGTTCTATTTGCCCTGCTGGCAAATTTCTCACACTGTTGGCTCATGTTCAACTTCTGGTCGATTGTAACCCCCAGGTCCCGTTCAGATGCTGTGCCAGGCAGCACACCTATCTTGTAATTGTGGTGAAGGTTCTTCCTACCCAGATGAAGGACCTGGCACTTTTCCCTGTTGAACCATATCTGATTTCAATCAGCCCATAGAATCAGTTTGTCAAGGTCATCCTGGATCCTGTCCTCTGGTATGCCCCATTTTCCCACAGCTTGGTATCGTCCGTAAATTTAATCATAGAGCATTCCACCCCTGTATCCAAGTCATTAATAAATATGTTAAAAAGCATGGGTCCAAGCACCGATACGTGTGGGACACCACTAGACAGCCCTCCAGAATGAGGCCGTCCCATTGATTACAACTTGCTGGGACCGGCCTCTAAGTCAGTTATCCACCGACTTCACTGTAGGCTGGTCCAGGCCAGTACCCTCCAGTTTAATTGAGATAATTTAATGGGAGACAGATCAAAGGCCTTACCGAAGTCTAAGTAAATTATATCTACTGTTGGCTACAAAGGACGAACTTGCAGGATCGTCATAAAATTCTAGTTTATTAGACAGATGCAAAAGTCAGATCATAAACCTTGGGGCTGATCCCCTCAAACACACACATACTCACAGTAACTAGCTATGAACACTAAGCACTGGTGTCAAAATATACCTATCCCCAAGCGCTGAAGTCCGCTGTCGATAGCCAGTAGAGGCTTCTTTCAGTGCGATGTTGCTTCAGAAGGGGGTTGCTAGCTGGTCCTTCTGGCTGGGTAGGCAGGGTGCTGGTCAGGTCAAAGAGGGCGCCATTGGGGGTCATTCTTCGCTGCCTTTTATCCCTCTCTGGCAGACTTTGATGACTCCTCAATTTTCGGGCTTGCTCAATCCAGGGGTCGTTGACCTCGTGGGACATCCCTCTTGGTGGTTGCTAGGTGGCAGCTATCAGCCCCAGAGGTCACGTCTGCAGGTACGTGCAATCTCGGGAGTCTGTTGATAAAGTTTGATTAATTCGCTGCTGTGATTATTAGGGCTCTGGGAGCACTTGATCGGGGGAGGAGAGGTGGTATTCAGTCCCAAGAGTCGGTCTTTGGCATTTATTAGTTTAAACTGGGGTTTCTGTACCTTTAACAGTGAAGTTTCAGGGAGTTCCTAGCTCTGTATTGATCCTTTCCTCTTGTTAGTCTGTGGTTTCATAGGTGTTAATTGCTGCTGGCTAACTTGTTTTCCTGGCTAGCTACTGTGTTACACAATCAGTCATGATTCATTCAGGGACCTGCTCAATACAGAGAAACCTCGATTTGATTCCCTCCCGCCTTTGCTAACATTGTTACATGGTACAACTTACTTTTAAACTTAAAGTACATTTGTTACAAAGTTAAAAAGCATAGAATATAAAACATAAAAGGGTGAAATGCCATGGCACATACAACAAATAGACCAAATACAGTGTGGGGGGACATACTGATGCAGAATACTATTTTATACCCATAATAGCATCTACAAATTATATTTTTATTACAAGTACACCTTATATTCTATAAAAGTAATAATAATATAATAAAAGAAGAAGAGGGAGGAAGGAAGAAGAGGTAGAAAAGAGAAAGCATCCCGAAAAGGGGGCAAATACTGCAAAAGGGGCTTTACTGTGGGGGGGGGGTCAAGGAAAAAAAAGGTTTCTTGCTACACTACCTCATGTCCCTTGTCTAGCTGGTTAGTTACCTGGTCATAAAAGGACACCAGGTTTGTCAGGCATGAACTACCCACCACAAAGCTGTGCTGGTTGTTTCTGAATACCCTTACAGTTATAAGCTTGTGATTGATGGCCTCCTTAACAATTTTTTCAAAAGTTTTTCCTAGTATCAAAGTTAGACTGACCAGTCTACAGCTTGCAGGGTCGTCCCTTTCTTAAAGATGAGCATCACATTGGCCCTCTTCCACTCATCTGGGACCACCCTCAAGTTCCATGACTTTTTGAATATCTTCGCCAAAGGCCCTGCTATGATTTCAGCCAGTTCTCTCAGGGCTCTTGGATGTAGCAGGTCATCTGGCCCTGCAGACTTGAAAACGTTCAATTGTTCTAAGGACTCTCACCTGGTCAGGACTGACTTCATGATGTCTGTTGGCTTCCCCATGTTCCCTGGGCCTCTGGACAGGTGCACAGCTCCTGTTAGCTTTCTGGAATACCGATGTGAAGTATTCATTTAGGAGCTCTGCCTTTTCTTGGGAATCAACTGTGGGCTGCCCCTCCATATTTAGTAGGGATCACACAGTGGACCTTTTTTTTTTCTTGTTCCCCATGTACCTGTAGAAGGACTTTTTGTTGTTATTTATTTCAGATGCCAGCTTGATGTCCATGAAAGAAGTGACTCCGGAATTAAAGAATTAATCAAATGTAGAATATGATCCTTTGTGCTGCTTTAGATTTTTGCTTCTTTTGGGTACTTGATGCTGCTAGGCCACTTGGTGTTTTCCTTTGTTGCTCTTACTTTCCAGCTTGCTGTGATCTAATTCTTTTGAGCTCCTTTCTGTTGTTTAGAATATGCTAGAGGAGGAAAGTCCTAGCTCATAATGAATAACAAATATATTTTCCCCCGTTTCACCTGACAGTCAAAACTTCAAACTGTACCACTTCTTCATATTAAATTACACCATCATCATAAAATCATGACATTTCAACATAAATGTCTTTTCACTGCTCCAAAGAAGTTAAGGGCATGCTTTTACCAGGTTCAGCTGCGGCAGTTTTCCCCTGAAAATCTAATCTTAAAACTGTTCCCAAACTTTAAATGCAATTGTGTGAACACCTTGTTATAAAATCTCCATTTTGTGCAATTAGACTCAAAAAGAGGTAACAATGATAGAATTTCTGTATTCAGTGTGCCATGAAATGTGTAATCAACATCTCAATTAGCAATAAAAATACTTTTAAAGATGAGCAAGTTTTAAAATGACAGCGCGCACACCCTCAATCCAATCCCTTATAACAAAGTATATCCCACCCCCAAAAGATGCACATTAACTTCACCATACTGACCTGTTTGATGGAGGTGATCTCTGGCAAGCTCAAATAAACGCATGTGCATGTTTGTGATAGGATTAAAGGAGCCACAAGCTAGGAGAATGAGAGGTATCTGGTTTTTCATCTTGATATCAGCACTTCTCCCTAAAGGAAGTACAACCCTTATAAAATAAGCAGTGTTACAGAGAGGTTTCCTAAATCAGTTTCTCAAAACAATACATAATGGAGCATCATTTGCAGACTGTATATCCTTGAAGCATTAGAAAAATGCCAAGGGATCAGCATGCAGCAAAAATCAGAACACAGGATACGTAATTAAATCAGAAATATAACCTGTACTTCAGCAAAAGTTATGATTACACCCCTAATTATGCTCTCTGATAGCCATAACAAGTAGGAAAATAAAGGCAAACAGAAAAAGTAATGGCTGCTGTTTCAAGTCTGTGTTTGTGACAGCTATCATAGAAAATAAGGGTTGGAAAGGACCTCAGGAGGTCATCTAATCCAACCCCCTGCTTAAAGTAGGACCATCTCCAACCATCTCATCCCAGCCAAGGCTTTATTTAGCCAGGTCTTAAAAATCTCCAAGGACAGAGGTTTCCCTCAGCCTCTCCCCATAAGTCAAGTTCCCCAGATGCCAACAATTTTGTTGTCCTCTGCTGGACTCTCTCCAATTTGTCCAAATCGTTTCAATAGTGGGGGACCCAAAGCAGGACACACTACACCAGATGTTGCCTCGCCAGTGACATATAGGAGGGGAAGAATTACTTCCCTCAATCTGTTCACAACACTCCTACTAATGCAGCCCAGTATGCCATTAGCCTTCTTCGCAACAAGGCATACTGCTGACTCATATTCAGCTTATTGTCTGCTGTAACCTCCAGGGTCTTTTTCTGCAGAGCTGCTGCCCACCCAGTCAGCCCCCAGCTTGTACCTGTGCATGGGATTGTTCTATCCTAAGTGCAGGACTTGGCACTTGTCCTTGTTGAACCTCATGAAATTTCTTTTGGTCCAGTCTTCCAATTTGTCAAAGTCTCTCTGAATCCTAACCCTAACATTCAGCATATCTACTACTCCTCCCAGTTTGGTGTCAACTGCAAACTTGCTGAGGGTGCACTCTATGCCATCTTTGGGGCATTGATGAAGATACTGAAGAAAACTAGCCCCAGGACACACCCCTGGGGCACTCCACTTAATACCGACTGCCAACTAGACTTTAAACCACTGATTACTACCGTTGAGCCCAACAATCCAGCCTGTTTTCTATCCACCTTACAGTCCAGTCATCCAATCCATACTTCTTTAGCTTGCTTGCAAAAATTGTGGCAGACTGTATCATAAGCCTTGCTAAATTCAAGGATATTATATCCACTGCTCTTCCTGCTTCCACAAAGCCAGCTATCTCATCATAAAAGGCAATGAGGTTGGTCAGGCATAAAATGCCCTTGGTAAATCCATGCTGACTGCTCCAAATCACCTTCTTCTTTTTTAAGTGCTTAGAAATGGCTTTCTTGAGGACCTGCTCCATGATTTTCCCGGGGACTGAGGTGAGGCTGACCCGTCTGTGGTTCCTCAGATCCTCCTCCTTCCTTTCTTGAAGATGGACACTATATTTGCCCTTTTACAATCATCTGGGACCTCTCCCAACTGACATGCATTTTCAAAGATGGCCAGAGACTGCAATCAAATCAGCCAATTCCCTCAGCACCCTTGGGTGCATCACGTCTAGACCCTTGGACTTGTACACATCTGGATTTTCTAAACAGTTCCTAACCTGTTCTTTTGCCACTGATGACTGATCATCTCCCCAAACTATGCTGATAGGTGTAGCAGTCTGGGAGCTGACTTTGTCTGTGAAGACTGAGGTGAAAAAGGCATTGAGTACTTCAGCCTTTTCCACATTCTCTGTCACTAGGCTGCCTCCCCATTCAGTAAGGGACCCATACTTTCCCTAATCTTATTGCTGAAATCCTTATAGAAACCCTTATTGTTGCCTTTCACATCACCTGCTAGCTGCAACTCCAATTGTGCTTTGGCCTTCCCAATTTCATCCCTGCATTCCTGAACAATACTCTTATACTCATTTGTCCAAGTTTCCACTTCTTGTAAGGTTCTTGTTTGTGTTTTAGCTCACTGAAGATTTCCCTGCTAAGCCAAGCTGGTCTTCTGCCATATTTGGTAGTTTTCCTGCACATCAGGATAGTTTGCTCCTATGCCCTCAATGGCCATGTAAACAAGCATGGCTGTGTGGCACGTGGTGCCCTAGACACACCTGCAGTGCTACATATCACATATTCAAGTGTTCTCTGCACTGTAAGGTAATAGTGCAGGCAAGGGGTGGGGGTGGGGAGGGGGGGTTGACCCCAGGGTCAGAAAGACCCATGCAAAAAAATAAATAAATAGAAGGGGGGGGGCGGTGTATGCAGGGGCAGTGTGTGCTGCCCGAAACGGTGTGAGCAGCCATGCTCAGCTAGGTTCCAAGTGACAGGATCACTGCTGCTACACAGGGCCCCAGGTAAGGCTGCTGGGGCTAGCCCCAGCCTTCCCTACCCAACTCGGGTTAACTTGCCATGTGCCACAAGGCGTGACATTGGTTCTTGTCCCTGGGGAAACAAACATCCATGCTTATGTGGATGTGGCCAGTAAGGTTTCTTTAAAATACAACCAGCTGACCTGGAATCCTTTTCTCTTCAGACTGGCCTCCCAGAGGATCCTGCCCATCTGTTGCCTCAGTGAGTCAAAAGCTGCTTTTCTGAAGTCTGGAGTCCTTACTCTGCTGCTCTCCTTTTTTCCTATCCTCAGGATCATGAACCTTTCTTCCTTTCCTCAGGATCATGAACTCAAGTAGTCACTGCTTCCCAAGTTTCTATCCCCTTGAACATTCCCCACCAGTTCTTCCTGGTTTGTGAGCAGCAGGTCAAGAACAGCATAGCCCCAAGTTGGCTTCTCCAATAATTGTACCAGGAAGCTGTCCCCCACACTCTCCAAAAACTTCTGGGATTTCCTGTGCACTGCTGTATTGCCCTCACAGCAGATGTCACAGTGATTGAAGAAGTCCCCCCATGAGAACCAGGGCCTGTGATCAGAAATGTTCTGCTAGTTGTTTGAAGAGAGCCTTATTCACCACTTCCTCCTCGTCTGGTGGTCTATAGCAGACATCCACCATGATGTCACCCTTGTTGCTCTCCCCTCCAACCCTAACTCAGAGACTTTCAACAGGCCTCTTTCCAGTTTTATGCTAGAGCTCTGAGCAATGGTTCAGCTCTTTTACATAAGGCACAAATTCTCTTCTTCTCCCCTGCCTGTTCTTCTTCAACATTTTGTAGCCATCCATGACAGCACTAAAATTATTTGAGCTTCCCCACCAAGTCTGTTAAGAATTTCCAATTCATCCTGCTTGTTTCCCAGGTTTTGTCCCTTTGTGTACAGACTTCTGAAGTAACTAACCAATTGCCTCACTTTCTCAGGAAAAATGAGAATGCCTTCTCTGCTGCCCACTCCTGCTTGTGCTTCCTTTAGGATGCCCACTTCCCCACTTACCTCTGGGCTTTGGTCTCCATCCCCCTCAGTGAACCTAGTATAAAGCTCTGCTCCCCAGGTTAGGAAGTCCGTCTGAAAATGTTCTTCCCTCTCTTCATCAGGTGTTTTCATCCCTTCTTAGAAATCCTTCTTCTTGGAACAACATCCCATGCCCGAAGCAGCCAAAGCCCTGCTGGCAATACCATCTGCCCAGCCATGCACTGAACTGTATCATCCAAGTCTTGGTTTTATGATTTTTGCAGAATTAACTTTAGTGTCACTAAGACAGCCTGCCACCAGTCTAAGGAAACCTGAATATGTACTGGCCTTTCCAGGTAAATCACAGATTATAAACAATACCGAAATCGTTGCATCAAAACCGATTATAAATCCACTACAAGTAAATGTCATCTACACTACACTGAGCTCAATGCAGGGAGCAACCTAATTAGAATGAGGTGGCACCCTGAAAAGAAAAACAGCTCTGTACTATAGCCTACATACGACTTAAATGGATTTTAACTGTTAGTAGAAACCAGAGTAGCAGCATACTTCAAGGGCACAATAACATCACAGTTGGGTCCCATCTATACTACCAGTCAAAAGTACGTTCAGGTATTCCAGTAAGGTGATTGTTCTAATATAGCCATCATAGATTTAGTTAAAATCAGAGTGGATTAAATCACCGATTTTAATCACAGTTTAAATCAGTAAGCAGGCAACTCTGATTAAAATCTATCTTAATCTTGTTTTGCATCTGTACTGTTTGTTATTTTCCTAAAGAAAGGTTGATTTTCATCAGTTGGTAATGATTAAAACAAGCTGATTTGCAACTAATTACAGCCTTTTCACTAAATATGGTACTTTTTGTTGCAAACTAGGAAGACATCTCTATACACATGTATTTATGCTATTATGTACCATTACATATGTTTCTTCAGATCCTTAATTTTTTATGTTTATATATTAGAAACTAGAAAATTATATTCCTTATTTACTAAATGATGCATATTTCTGCTCATGAGTTTGGTCAAACTGCTTTGGAATGGAATTAGAATTAAATTAAGAGGCACTAAAACAGCATTTTCAACTGGTTTTATTACTTAAATAAAACTACCTTTCAGTTGCTAGCTATATAAGGAAAAAGTTTATCAAATAACATTTAGAATTTAGAACTAAGTTCTAAATAGTTGGAAAACTAAATAGCTTTTTTCTGTCTCCATAGTCTTCCAGATTTTAGAAGTGGTAGATTTCATCCCCTCTCACCTCATTTTTTATATTCCTAAGACTAGAAGAGGAAAACAATGTTTCCTGCTTTTTCCATTTCCCAATCTGTTTCTAAATTTTGAATGAACTAGCCATAAAAACTGGCCCTCGCTAAATAAACTGAAAAGAAAATATTCATTGTGCACCTGCAAAAGAGGCCACTGCTGTCAAAAGCTGCTGTAGCAATTCAGTGAACTCTTGATCATAGGTGCTTAGCCTGGGACTTAGAGAAGGTTTGTGGTTTGACTTTCCTTAAACCTTCACTAGTAAACATGTACTACACAAGTACTTTTCATTAAGATTAATATGTAATTGAAAGTTTAGACCTTAATATAGGTTGTCACAAATTCAATTAAATTTGAATAGGATTGTTTTTAAAAAGAAAAAAAAATACATTTTTAAATGGCAAATCTTAAATTTTTACCCACTCTGACAGGAGATATTCTCAAATGATCCATAATGAACCATCTTTTCTTCTTTGCTACCTACTTTTACTTAAAATAGCTTAAATATTAATGTAAAGGCAATGATAGGGTTGACATTTCAGACTAACAAAAGTCAGCCGATCAGCACGTATTCTCTATAAGATGGGTATTTCTGCTCAGTTATATATCTACTTTCTACTGTAAAACCTGTTTTGCACTAATTTTTAAATACCTTACCTAATAAAATGTATGCATTTGCAGACTGCCAATCAAATGACTTGTTTGAAGGATACATATATTGTATAATCTCCTCAACATCCAAATAATATGCCTACATACAGTAGGCTTGTATTATAATGACTGTAATTTTAAATTCTTTTTTTGGACTTTCAGTCAAATGACAGCAGAAATAAAAGTAAAATGCCCCCTTATTGCTTTCCCTGATCAGATTATGTACAGGAAACGGGGTAGGCAACATTTTAGGCCAGAGTGCCGAAAAAACTATGATGTCTACCTTGGAACGTGCCAGAATGCCAGAAAAACAAAACTAGGGCGAGGGTATACAGCAGGACACACCCTATATTAATATAGTTAATAATCATAAATGTTGCTTTTTTCAGTAAATTCCAGGTTTTCTAGAAAATCTAAACCAGGTGACAATAAGTAAAACTTCATATACTACCTCTGTTGTTGTGTACTGTTTTTGTTAAGCATGTTGTGATCAGATAAAAAAAGAGAAAGATAGGAGAGAAAAAGAAGAGAGAGAGAGAGAGAGAGAGAGAAAAGGAAAAGAAAAAAGGAGAGAAAGAAAAAAGAGAAGAGAGGAAAAGGGAAGAGAAAAAGGGGAGAAAAGTGGTGGAAGGATGGCTATGGAGACCAGGGGGGCTAAGGCGAATTTTGGGGTGGCTATAGCCCCCCCCAGCACTGCCCCTGTGCACTGGGCTCCAGAGCCTCAGCTGGGCGTTGTGCCAGCAGTGCCTGCACGCACCCCTCTGAGTGAAGGGGGAGGGGCCTGAGGCAGTGCAACCCCAGGCCCCTCCCCCACCATCTGCTCTCAGGCACAGGGGGTGCAGGGTGGGAAAGGGGCTGGGGCAGTGCCACTCCGGCTCCTCCACTGCCAGCCACCTGGAGGCATGCATGTGTGTGCTGCCTCAGGCCCCTCCCCCGCCATCTGCTGTCAGGTGTGTGCGCAGTTGCTGTCGGTACGGAGCTGATGCTGGAGATCTGAAGCTCTGGCACCAGTTCCGTGCTGGTAGCAACTGCATGAGCACCTAAAAGCGGATGGTGGGGGAGGGGCCTCGGGCTGTAGTGCCTCAGGCCCCTCCCCTGCCATCTGCCCAGAGGGGTATGTATGCAGCCACCACTGGCACAAAGCCTGGTGCACAGGGGCAGTGCTAGGAGGGAGATCTAGGGGGGCAGGGCTATAGTCACCCCAAAGTTCACCTTAGCCTCCGCCCTCGTACCCACCCCTCCAGCACCACCTGGGCCACTGCCTGCCCCATACACCTGAGCCTGCCCTTTCCAGCGCTGCCTGGGCTGCGCAGTCCACCCCGTGCAGCTGAGCCCACCCCGATCCCGCCCACAGTGCAGTTCCGCCTCTGGGAAGAGGTTGGCCTAGGCTCTGGGTAGCTGCTGCCAGCCAAGGAGGTCAGGCTGCTTGCAGCAGGGCTTGCAGCCTCCTAGCTCCCTACTGTGAGTAGCCCAGGCTCTGTGGCTGGCAGCAGCTGCCCAGAGCCCAAGTGGGTGGTGGCATGCTGAGCAAAATGGCCTCATGTGCCATGCTCTTGCACTCATGCCAGGGATGCTGACCCATTTTAGAAAATCCTTGAATGTTATTAGCAATTTCATGGCCCGCACTTGAAAAGGAGATTGCTGCTATATGTTATGTTTCCTACAACTTTTACCTCTGTTGATTCCAGTTCATTCTCCCTCCACAGCTACCATTCTCAGATTAATTTTTTCAAAGTTAGGTGTATACTTAATGTGTTCCTTCCTTTGAAAAACTAAAGTCCACAACGTTCTCCTTCATGCAATAAATGATTCACCAGGGACTTTTTAATTTACTCGTGATGATTTTTTTCAGCCCGAAAACATAACCACAGCATTAACTGAAGTAGTTGTCCCAAGGAAAAAAATGTTGCCAGACTAAGCACTGATATTTGGCCCAGGTTCTTGCTGGATGAACTCTACTAAAATTGACTACGTTGACTTAAATTCAATGAATCTTGCACCATTAATAAATGAGTTCTTGTCCTGGTCTTAATTGATTTATGTTGCTCCTTTCTTTCACCAGCCCTCAAAACACAGAAAACCGCACCATCCCCATGCTTAGATGGCAAGGTAATATCAGCTTCACCTCCTGGCTTCCATTCAGTTGCCTGCTGCTACAGATTTATTTAGGGTCTCCCTATTCCAAATAGCAACAGACATATCTACTCTCCTTTGCCATGAGTGGCAGTGGCAGCGGCAGCTCTGGAGCTGTCTCTGTAGATTTAGAGATTACGATATTAGTTATATTTCATTTATATATCTTTTGCCACTGTGAAGGCTATAAATAATTTATTTTTAATGAAGGCTTAGATTCCACAGCAGTTGGTGGTTTCCACCTCAGAGACCGTCCTATATGCTTACGATTGTTCAATACATCCCTTTACATATTTATACTTTGAAAACTCTCAGGGAAAGCTTCCAATTTCTACTTCTATTAGCAATAACCAGGCAGTACTCCTGATACAAACCATGTATTTATCTTTTACTTAAAAGCTCCACACAAAAGAAGACCCTCTAAGCTCCCAACATAAATTTTAAAACAAATAATTTTTGCTTTGCAGTGCCTCCTTTGTTAATCAAAGCAGTAGCGATTCTCCTCCCACCACACCACACACAGCATCCTACCTCATATTTAGCAGGCCAGATCAAAACTTGAACTCTCATTTCACCTCAGCCTCAAGCAAAAATCCCAGCTCAACTGTCCTGGTAATGCTTGATTGCACACTCACAAGGAGAAGCTTTACAGTACACCTGGAAGATCAGGTGACTCAGGCTGTTTCATGCTAGGGAAAAACACCTTTCTTGTTTTGTACCCAGATGGAGGAGTCCAGTAGAAGTGCCCTACTGACTACATCCATTTTCTTCTTTCCTGCCCTTCATCTCTGATCAGATAAGCTCATTATTCTAGGATTTCAACCTCCCCCAACCCTCAAGTATCAGATCATTTGATAGCAGGTCATTACAAAATAAAAAATTCTTCCCCCAAATGTGGGAATTAGTTAAAAACATCTCCTGCTTATTCCCCCTACTGAAGTCCTGGTCTAGATAAAATTCAGTACCAAACCACATTGCAGCTTTTCTGTAACTTAAATGCACAAAGATTTCAAATCCAGCATCCTGTGGCATTATGTGGCTAGTTTTATGTCAAAGGGAAAGGGAGATCTCTAGCTTCCTAATGTGACCTAGCACTTGTTTGACCCCAGATAAGTATGCCGAAGTCCCACATAGGAGGATGAAAAAATGCTCTAAGTAAACCAATTCCTCAAGAAATAGTCCTGATTCAGAAGTCAGTGTAGATAACCAAGTACTGTCATTAAACCCAAAATAAGGCATATTGGGGATTTGTACCAACTGGGTTAATCAGGGTTTACCTCTTTCTTGCCGTGGTTTGTGCTTACAAATCTGCACCAATGCAGCTACCTCAACTGCTTAGTAGCAACTGTCCTCAAGAGTAGATAGAACACAAGCATTCACATAGCCTTCCAAGGTGGTATATTATTAACAAAAGCTGCTTACAGATGTGGGAAAAAAAAACACCCAACACTTCACTTTCAGCTCAGTGTGCCCCCACGCCAAGAGCGGAGCACACCCAGAAGAGACATCGTGTCAGTTTGACCCAGCTCGCTCAGCATCTG